TATATATATATATATACATATATATATATATATTACATATAATATATATATATATATATATATATATATATATATATATATATATATATATATATATATATATATACATATATATGTATATACACATATATACATACATATATATATATATATATATATATATATATATATATATAAATATATATATATATATATATTATATATATATATATATATATATATATATATATATATATATATATATATATATATATATATATATATATATATATACATATACATACATTGATCCGATTTCATTTGGTTAATGATAAAATTATTACCGATGGAACTAAAAACATCTGGCAAATTTACATTGGTCCAATGTATGTAAAAACATCGCAAAAAGTTGATTGTTTTTACGATCCAAACCCAACGTTGATCCAATGTATATATTTCGACGTTAATTCAATGTATATAAATCAACGTTTTTCCAATGTATGTAAAAACATCAAAAATAATTGATTGTTTTTTTACGATCTAAACCCAACGTTGATCGAATATATATATCTCAACATTGATTCAATGTATTTAAATCAACGTTTTTCTAATGTATGTAAAAACATCAAAAATAATTGATTGTTTTTTTACGATCTAAACCCAACGTTGATCGAATGTATATATCTCAAGATTGATTCAATGTATATAAATCAACGTTGATCCAATTTTTATATTAAATATTTGCAAATACATCGCAAAAAGTTGATTGTTTTTATAAACTAAACTCAACGTCGATCCAATGTATGCGACCAAACATTGCTTTTGCCAATATTTGGTCGCATCCAACATCAAACCACAATCAACGCAAGCATGATTTTTATTTTGATAATCAAGCGTTTCCAACTTTAAAAATATACATTGACTTTTTTTAACTTTTTCATAACTAAAGGTTTTCTCCCACCTTGCTTAGGGCGTTAAATATAGAAAGGTCCTTTTGTTGTATGTATATATATATATATATATATATATATATATATATATATATATATATATATATATATATATATATATATATATATATATACATATATATATATATATATATACATATATATATATATATATATATATATATATATATATTTATATATATATATATATATATATATGTATATATATATATATATATATATATATATATATATATATATATATATATATATGTATATATATATATATGTATATATATATATATATATATATATATATATATATATATGTATATATATATATATATATATATATATATATATATATATATATATATATATATGTATATATATATATATATATATATATATATATACATATATATATATATATATATACATATATATATATATATATATATATATATATATATATATATATATATATGTATATATATATGTATATATATATATATATATATATATATATATATATATATATATATATATATATATATATATGTATATATATATATATATATGTATATATATATATATATATATATATATATATATATATATATATATATATATATATATATATATATATATATATATATTAGTTTAAAAATTTCTTTTTTTTTTCAAACGAATAAACTTTTTTAAAGATATTTTTTTATTATACATCATGACAAAAGTTTTTTGAGTTTTTATATTTTATTAAAAAAAATAAAAATAAATAAAGTTTCAATTATGTATGCTCAGTTATTGTTTATACCTGTTTTCCAACGTGCATGCAAAGAATGGATGTCCTGTAAATAGAACTCTTTAAGCATGAAGGCAAAAAAGTCGCTTAGATAAATTTTGAGGGAGAAAGAAAATTTTGTTTTGTGCTTGGAAATTAATTGAGAGTTTTTGGCTTAAACTTTTCTAGTTGAGCACAGTACTGCACTACTTATAAGATAGACAGTAACTAAAAAGTTTCCATTCTGAGATATTCTTAAAGTATTTAGCAAACCAGTCAGCTTAGTACATGTCAGAAACTTTTAATATCATCAATTGACTTCAAAAAAAAAGTTTTCATGTTGTTTTAATGATTTTTTAAATTTAATTATCTTAATTAAACAAATTTTGCTATGTACTAAAATTATTAATTAATTTGTTAGCTTGTTTTAGGTAAGAAAGAAAATGAATACGGTCTTTTTGTCTTGTATTATGAGAGAATATATGTTAAAGTAAATTCTGGTTCTAAGTCATTTTTCATTTTTTTTTTCACTAACTGTCTATTTTGTAATTAGGGCAGAGACCTCTGAAGTAACAGTTGTAATAGTAGGAAGCAGTTCCTAACAATACAACATCAATATTCAATATTATGTATAGCCAGCAATACTGAGAGCATATTTATTTTGGATGAAGTTTAGACTTTGGAGTACACTATAAGCGAGCTTGACGTCACAAGAATTTTAGTGTTTAAATAAAAAGACGTATTTCTGCATGAAAAGTATAAAAATTCACTAACTTTAAAGTAATAGTATTTTTTTTCTATTAACGCTTTTATCTTAAAGTTAAAAAAATGTAAAAGAACTATATTTCTTCTTTAAATAAATATTCACATTAAACGAAATAAAAATAAACATTATTAAAATATTTTTAATGATTTGGGATTACTTTTCTGTTTTTTGGCGATTTTAACGGAAAACCTGTCTTGGGCCAATCAAGATTTAATATTTTAAGCTACATGCTTGATTGTTGAAATTTTATATACTTATTAACGAATGTCTATTTTATAAGATTTTTGGTGAACATTGATAAAAAAAAGATTTTAAGTTGGATTTATATTTTTGTTATTACTTGTTTTATATGAAAAACGTTATATGTTTGTTAAGTTCACCAAATTATTGAAATTACGAATATTTCATGTGCATAAAGGCACATGAAAATCAACAAAAATTTAATTTCTGTACTTCTAGCTAAAACGTCTTTAACCTTGGCAGGTTTAGCAACAAAATTTGCGTAAAAATTTTGTTTATATTTTAAAGCAATGACGTAACTTTAAATGCGTTACTACCCAATTTACTATCTAACTAAATTTATTAAAACAGCTTTTTTAGCGAGACAAACTTTATTGTATAAATAAACAAACTTTAGCGAGTTTTTTTTCTCGTGGCTAATCTACAAGCAGACTTCAATAAAAACTGTTTTAGTTAATCTTTAACAATTAAGTAAGGTTTTTTTATTTTAATAGTCAAACAACGAGTTTATTTAATAATAACTATCAGAAATATATTTTTCTGATTTTTTTTTGTTGATAAAAAGTAACGACAAATTACTAAAATTTAGCCAAGTTCATCATTTGTCGCGTTTTTTATAAACTAAAAGAAGTTTTTTTACTATTGTATTAAATGTCGTATGATGAAACATTTTATTGTTGTTTTTATTCTTTTTACATATATATATATATATATATATATATATATATATATATATATATATATATATATATATATATATATATATATATATATATATATATATATATATTTATATATATATATATATATATGCATATGCATATGCAGTATATGCATATATTTAAATCTAGTCTGAGACCAATAAAGAATTGGTCTCAGACTAGATTTAAAGATAATCAATTCACTTTAGTGAGTGAAAAATTATGTGTTATGTAAATTAAAAAAAAATTTGGTAGACTGTTAGGTCCAAAAATTTTATAATTTATTGTTAATAAGATTAGATACCTCTTCCTTACTCACAGGATCAATAAAAAAGGATTTAGCTTTAGACATATTATAAAAGTCACAATAATCATATTTTGATGGAATGATTTCATTGATAATTTGTTCACGAGTAAAAAAATAAATTAATTACTGGGGAATATATTTAAAACTAGGGAGTGTTTTGTAATAATATTTTCATGCAGATTTAGTTGAGTAGGTTTATTATGTGATTATGTTTTAACATATATGATGTATTTTTATGTAGTTTAGGTTGCTATTAAGATAAGTTATGGAGTATGATTTTTTCCCTACTTTTTGTTAAGTTAATAATTTTATTTTTAAAGTACTTAAACTTTATGAAATGTGGGGGGGGAGGTTGTAACCCCCCACCCACCTGTAAAATCGCCTCTGTATATATATATATATATATATATATATATATATATATATATATATATATATATATATATATATATATATATATATATATATATAATATTTTTAAATATAATGATAATAATATTGCAATCCAGCATTTTTTGATGTTGGAGATTTTTTTTTTGGCATAAGTCAAATAAAAATGCTTGCGAATAATTGCAATGATTAGAGCCTGAGAACAAACTGCTCTAAAGTAATGAAGTAAAAAAAAAAACCTATTAAAATTTATACTTTTTATTTTTTTTAAATCTCATTTGGTTAAATTTATAAACCAAATCAATTTTTTTTTTTTTTTCATTGTTGAAAAAAATAAAATGAAGAAAACACTCTATTTGAAAGTATGACTTAAGCCTTAAAAGCGGAAGAAAAAAAAAGGAAGTATAAAAAGAATGTTAAAATTAATATTGCATACATCTGATAAATTATATTCCTAATATATAAGTATATAATTAATTATATAAGTATTTAATTAATTATATACTTATATATTAGGAATAAATTTATCAGATGTATGCAATATTAACTTTAACATTCTTTTTATACTTTCTTTTTTTTTCTTCCGCTTTTAAGGCTCAAGTCCTATTTTCAAATAGAGTGTTTTCATTTTATTTTTTTCAACAATAAAAAAAAAAAAAAAATTGATTTAGTTTATGAATTTAACCAAATGAGATTCAAAAAAAATAAAAAGTATAAAATTTATAAGGTTTTTTTTTACATCAGTATATATGCATATATATATATATATATATATATATATATATATATATATATATATATATATATATATATATATATATATATATATATATATATATATATATATATATATATATATATATGTATGTATATATATATATTTACACCATGTAGTGTTTGAAGTTTTTACTTTCTTGGAGTCTCTGAAAAAATTTTTTCAGTCAATTTTTCACATTAAATATAAAGTATATAAAGTTTCATTTTCTTTTATTAAGCAAAAGAGTAAAACCGTTAATTTCTTTAAGAATCTAAATGATTTTTATTTCACGGCTGTTTGAATGAAGTAAAGCTTAAAATAAAACAATTCTTTGAATTTTAATTTATCGAAAGCATATTTTTTTAAAACTCTTTATGTCAGCATCCAATGATTTTTCAATGATTGATATTTCAGGTTAGCAATGAATGTCTTGTTTCAACCAAAAATATTTTTTCATAAATAAGGTTGATAATCTGCCTTATTTTTATGGGATTGCATTTTGTTGAAGCAAGTTTGATTCCATTAAAGTATCCTCCTTTTTACAATTATACCAAGTTTATGTGTACCATTTATCATTAATTTTGGAGTTATTTTTTCAGTATTTAACACCATAACTTTCCTCTTTTTTTTTAAATAAACTTTTGTTTTATTTTACTATGGCAACGAAATAGCAAACATGTTTATAAAAGGTAAAATCTTTAGAATTGTGTAAATGTTATTTACGATTGCATGACTAACTAAACTGGTACGTAAGAGAGAATTGGTGTTTTCCACGTTGCATAGGTCAAAGCTACAGCACGAAGACTGCAAAAAATAAAAAAATATTATTATGATTGAAAGTTTAGCGTAAAGAAACCATAAAATTAAATATTGTATTTTAAAACATAAAATAGTTCATCACGGATCATTTTTATAACAGACGCATAAGTTACAACATGGTGCATAACTTTATATTATACTAATGCATAAAGTAAGGTGCATGATTTTATATTAATTTGACGAACAAATTTTCATAAATAATGATAAATGAAACGTATGAAAAAAATTATATCAACTACCTGGCAGTCAGTATAGTTAAAATAAAACGGGCCAGCGCAATACGAATCACAACCAAATAATTCTTCGTGGTCAATCCCACAATGCTTTTGTGTAAATTGTTCTATTACTCCACCTGTCTTAAGTAATAATAAATTTGTACTACACTCCATATAAAAAAACGGTTTAACCAATATAGATTACTCATTTTATATACTATATATTTTAAATAAGAATGCATTAGAATTAAGACTTCTATACCTGGTCGCAAATTGTAATTTATAGATAATGAAAGCCATTTTAAATATGTTAAAACCTGTATATTTACTAAACCAGCCAATATCGATTTAATGAATAATAAAAATAGCTTTAAAATTTGTATTTTTTTATTTCAGTATTTAACATAAACAGCAGTATTTAACATAAAAAAATTTTAGTGAGTAGTCAGGGTTTGCTATAGCTTCGAGAAAGATAACTTTCAAACAGGGCCGCCGATAGTTTTCACGCCGCCTGGAACAGCAATCCTGATTGGCGTCTTTATTTATCAAATTTTCCTTTTATTATATATATAGGACTTTTTTTTTTAATTTAAATTTACACTTACCGATTGGTTTCACATTTCATGAAACAAATATTTTAGTGTTTGAAAGTTATGACTATGTAAACTTTATAAATCTCTCATTTTTAGATATTTGGAGCAATTTTTTGCAAGCCATTCTCATTTGATATAAAACAAAACATACCCAAGTTTAATGTTTTCTCTATGTCTAAAAGTTATATTTCTTAAAGATAAAAAAAAGCTCCCTCAATCTCTGACATTGCTTAGATAATTAAATCTTTTTTTATTAATCTTTTAAGCAACGGTCTTAGCACCGCCTGAGGAATCGCGAAATAGAATACGGGATAATGCAAACAATCATTTTATTAAAAAATGAACAATTAGTTTTTTCTCAAACATGGTCTATATAAAGTAGACTTGTCTAAAAGCGTTATGCTTTGTCTCCTCAAAAACACAGCGGTATTGACAAATTTTTTCGTTTTTCCATAATGGTTATATTCGATGAATTTTTTTAACGTTTTAACTTTAAAAAAGCAACATAATTCATGTTTTTTTACTGAAATAGCATTTAAACATAATTCATGTTTTTTTACTGAAATAGCATTTAAATTCAAAATTTAACGTAGAATTTGATGAAGTATTTTATTTTTTGATACTTTACATTTTTCCTTCAAAATTTTTTGACACCGAACATAAAGGGGAATCTAATAATAATGTAGAATAATAAAAACGAATCCTAACATTGTTAGGAATGGTTTTTTTTAAATCAACTCGTTTTTGAATAAAATCTAAAAATTTTAAAGATTTTTTTTACTTTAAAAATCTCTTTTAACTATAATTATAATAATAAGAAAAATGTCTACAAAGTTTTTGAAAATAAATATCGAAATATCTGTTACTGTAAGACTCATAAAAGATTAGCTCAATATGCTAAAATGACGTTGTGTAATCTTCTGTTTGATTATGCTTATAAGCAGCACAAAAATATATTAACAACGTTTGAAAGAAAAAAAAGAAAAAAAAAAAAAACAAATAGATTTTCACAAAATTAGTAACCTGACTTTCATGTATCATACTGCCTTTCAGTAGCATATTCATGAGCAAAATAGTAAATTGTTTTTGATTCTTAGTGAAAGAATAAAAAATGCATAAACTATATATATGCTGATAAACCATTTAGGTTTATGGAAAACAGATTTCAGCCATATCTGGTTGATTAGATACGAATATTGATTTTCCAGTTCTTTAAAATGAGAGTTTGAAAAACATCTTACTAAACCAATAATTGCTCATTATTACTGGTATCAACAAATAACTTATATTTAATAATAAGGCGGCATAGTGAGATAACATAAATAAACAGCATTAAAAATGGAAACATTGCGTGGGTTAGCACACAATCCGCCAAACTTAAAAAGGTATTTTTAATGCAAACACATGCAAGCAGAATTATATACCAAAAAATAAATTTGAGCATGCAAATCCAGAATTGAAGGAAATGAAAATGATGAACGTATATGAGATAAATAGATTTCATCACATGATCTTCATGTATAATCATGAAACAAATCTCAAAACGTAAATCTTTAAAACAAAATTTAAAATAAATCAAAGCAATAACTATTATCTGAGATCTACTGAGAAACTAACATATATACCTACAAAACTTTATAAATAAGTAAAGTAATTGCAACGACTATTAGTTACTACAATGGATGGACATTCGTAGCAAAATGTACATACGTCTACTATTGGATTTTGGTTGTAAAAGCCTAGTTTTCTTTTTTCATTATTCAAATTAGGTTAACTTACCTTGCATATTTGCATTTAGTCAAGGTTTTTGAAAATACCACGTGCAAACGCGGGAAATAGCTCTTTTAAAAATTCGCTCTTAGGTCAGGCTGTTTACGCTATTCTTAGATATGAAATTGATGCTAAGGTATTAGATAGCTAAGATATTAGAAAAGATATTATATTATATCAAGATATTATAAAAAAATATTTAGGATATTAAAAAAGCATACAGTTTTTGAGTAATTGATTTGAATGCATCTTATATACGGTTCTTCTTCTTTTGTGATGCTACAATTAACAATGATCTGTTTACTTTTCTCACATGACCGCGTATCTTTGGCAGTGTCACAATCAAAGCAACGAAGACTTTCACCTAAACGCATCAATAAAATTTTACTATGTACTCAATAGCTTTGAAATTAAAATTTTGTTTGCAGTTTGATATTTAAAAGCATGGTCATGATGGCGAGCTTAAAATTTAGACATGCTGCTTTTAAAACAAATCCAATTAAATATTAGTGTGAAAAACTTTTTTTTTTTTACATTTATTGTCTCATCAATTTAACATATTAAAAACAAATCAATAAACGTTTTTTATACCTTCTTTTAATATGAAAGAAATGTAGATAAACAAATAAAACGTTTGCATCTTCTTATTTATTAAATTAAGTACGCAATACAAGTACGCTTGGATTCACTGTTTTCCATTTCAGTCTACTTGAGCATTCAAAAAACATTAATTTTTAAAAATTGTTAAACGTTTCTTTTAAATATGAATATGGTGTTTAAAAGAAATGAATATTTTAAGTTTTGATGAGTAAGAGAAAACTCTTTAAATTATATTCAACGGTTTTTTGGTATTGGTTAATTCATCTTTATTTAAAATATGAACTATTATCACTATTAGTAATAGAAGTAATAATAACAAAAAAATTATTTTATGTAGCTCAGCTGGCTTTTTTTATGTAACTCAGCTACATTTTATGTATCTCAGTTGGCTTGGAAATTTTTTCATGTAGCTCAGCTGGCTTAGAACTTTTTTCAACACAGCACATGTACAAAATATATATAAATTCTGTATATTGTTGGTTTCCATGATGTAGAAACCGTTGATAATTTAGTATTATTGATTTTTATGTAACTTACTAAAAATGTATAATTTAATTTTAAAAGAAAAAATTTGCATAGTTCATATAATATTTTTAGTTGATGCATAAATTCCGACTTGGAAAATTCAGAATTTAAAAATAAATAAACAAGGGTTATTATTCTAACAATAACATTGCGAAATGCTTTTTTTTTGTTGTTTTGGTGAAATTTAAATTGCTGGAGTTATTGCTATCTTGTCTGTTTAACAATATTTTAACTGACGCGCTTTATCTGGCGCTATCTTTGTTATAAATAACATGGCTCTGTCAGACTAATTTGTTTTTTACGCTGGTGGGGTTAAAAAAATTTCGCTGGAGAGGAAAAGCGCCTATGATGGCATACTTAACTTTGAAGCTTCATTATTCAGTATCCTGAAAACCAATAATTAAAGTTTTGATATGGATACATTTCTTGTTACAAGTAGAACAATAATAACCGTCTGATTTTTTATCAGTTTTGTTTTTTTTATTAGTTATTCCTATTTTTAAAAAAAGCACAAGTATGCTATCATAGGCAACCACTGCTCCTATGATGGCATATGGGAGAATAGGCTGGTTAGGATCAAGGGTAACTTGATGATTTCATTTAACCTTACAGAAAAACCAGAAATTACTCGGAACCAACCTAATTTACCATTTCATGCTACGCAGCAGCATTGTAAAGTTTCGTGGATGCGCATAGGATATATTGCTTTCTATGCATTTTTTTGACCAAAAAAAAAACCTTTGGAGCATCGCATATTTTTTACTTTACTTAAAAATAAGTTTTTCTTATAAAAAAAAGTTTCCCAAATTTGCCAATATTGCAACTCGTCAGTATGCCATCTTAGGAAGAAGTCATCATTTTCATTAAAACAAGCTGTGTCTGCCTTATTTAAAAAATAAAATTAAAGTAAGTATTCTACTAAATGCATAAAACTTGGATACAAAAGGCATAAAAATTCCCTTTCTTCATTGTCAATAATAAAATCACAATCTTAAATATATGAAGGGAATAAAATTACAACAGCACATCCCAAAATCAATTTTTGCTGAGTATAAAAACAATATTTGTGCACAAGGAACGTATTTTCACTAAAACTAATGTAAAGTCAGTATAGTCATGTAGATTTAATCACTTTTTCACCAAAACCAATTTTTATGGAAATATGACCGGTATGCCATCATAGGTGCTATGCCATCATAGGCGCCTTTCACCTATGTGTTGTAATTGCACTCGAAGCTTGTAATTTAATGTTTTTGCTCTCAAATTTACTTTAAGCTACTGTAATTTAATGTTGAAGTTTAAAAAAAAGGAACAAAAATCGTAAATTTTAAAGTTCATTAAAAAATAGCGAACACCTTTTTCTTTTAAATGTAGTTTTGTTATTGTTATCTTTTCACCACCTAATAATTTTATTGTTTTAAACTTAAAGATGTTTATAAATGCTTTTGTTGTCACTTGACAAATACAATGTTGATTTTTTGATTAATTAAAAAAATGTTATTAGAAAACTTGTCAAACATTATTTTTTTTCTTTTTAGAATGATTAAACCTAAAAAAAATAACTAATAGGGAAAAATGGAAAACAGAGGAAAGGATAGATTACCAAAACGTAAACTAGGTCGAAAGTGCATTATTTCCGAAACAGTAGAATCTAAGTTGAAGCAACTTGGTTTACAACGTCCATTTGTAGCCAACATATTGTAGTCACATCAAAATGGAAAACAGAGGAAAGGATAGATTACCAAAACGTAAACTAGGTCGAAAGTGCATTATTTCCGAAACAGTAGAATCTAAGTTGAAGCAACTTGATTTACAACGTCCATTTGTAGCCAGAGTATTGTAGTCACGAATTTCAACCTCTGGATAAAAGCGTTTTCAAATCATTAAAAACTTACTGGAATGTTTCCATTGATAATTTCCGAAGAAACTTTCCTGGACCATATAAGGATTCAGATCAACAGGAATCCTTTCAAATCTAATATCATAGCCCAAGTAGCTTTTGCACCCAGTGAAATTTCTAATCGCGTAAGCTTCAAAAATCCTGATGTTGTCAAGTTTAGTACTTTGAAACCTGAATCTTCAGACCCTGCATCTAGTATCCGTTCAATAATTCCATCACCTAAAATAATTTGAAAAGTAAAAACTAGAAGATCATTAAATGTGCAAGCTGTTGTTGTCGACAACAGCTTGCGCATTTAATGATCGACAACAGCTTGCGCATTTAACGAAATATAAAAAAAAAGTGTGAATGGCGATGTTGGACGCATACGAGGCTTATATCGCCATTAGTACCGTTTTAAGAAAAATGATATTTCCTTGAAATTATTTTAGGTGTGAGCAATAAATCTAAAATATTCCTAGAGCTAAATAATCATACTACCTAAGCAAAAAAAGAATTTTTCCAAAAATGTAGAGTGTACATAATAATACTCAACAAAATATAAAAGGGTCGTGTAATTAGACTACTTTACCCTATATCAACAAATCATTTGATAAAGTGGCCCACCGCCAACTCTAATAAAATAAGATTGAATCCATGGTTGAATTTACCAAGCTTCATACAACATTCTCTAAACTTTTATGCTTACGATTGTAAAATAATTATAGTTATTAAAACGGCTGAATATGCATGTGTACTACAAAATTTTTTTTAATAATACAGTTCTACGGAAGAAAGAATTTAAAATAAAATTAAAAAAAAAAGAAACTCATTCTGGTAAAACAAAATCTGATAAAATTATTTTGTCATAGGAGAAATTCTCCTATAATTTGGGAGAACTTAAATTGAAAATAAATCAAATTTTTTTTTTTTAGTTGTTCAGGTGCTTTAAAAAGTCTATTCGGTCTTTTAACAGAGAACCGCGGATAGGCATTTAACTAGGAAGTTCACGCCCCCATTTTTACCAATGTAGCAAATGCGGCCAGAGTTAAACCTCAATGCCAAAATTTGGACCTTTTAATTCTAAACCTAATGCTCCTACCACTCCGCCACGGTTGTTAATGTATTTAAGAATATTTTTAATTTCCCTTAAACTTTCTTTATTAACTTACTATAAAATCATCCGCTTTATTAGTAAACTGCATAGTATATGAATGTTATGTATTAATGAGTTATTATTAAATTGAATAGTGTTAAGATTGGGTTTTTTTAAAGTTCAAGAAAAGGGAGTAAACACCTGCTCTAGCACCCATTGTTGTTTGTTTTAGATCATAATAAAAATTATCGCTGAGTAACAAATGTAAATGGAATAGCTTAATCCTTTTTAGCCATCAAGAAATAAATAACAAATTAACAAACACTGAGAGAAAAAAATGAAAAAAGCAAAATATTATTAAAATATAATCGACATAAAACTGATGTAGAAAAAAAATTAAAGAAAGGAAAAAAAAGTAAAGAAAAGCAACTTCAAATCAAACGAATGAAATTATTTGACGTTCTTCTCTACCCGTAAATAAAGTTCAATTAATTTTATTTAATAGCCAAAGCAAAACTTAGTTGTTTTATAATTAGAAGAAATAAAATTACAACATTGTAAAACCTTTTTATGGATTAAAATGAGCAACTTTCTTAAATGAAAAAACAAAGAAAAAAAGTCGGTAATATATAATAATATAGCAAAAATATTTCTATTCAAAAATGTATGTTTATGTACACATGTATATAAACATAAAGGATATGCATGACCGTTTTACAGAAGAAAACTTTTTTTTTTTAAAGTTGAAGGTCATTACATGTTTTTTTTTATTTTACGTACATGCATATATCCTCAATAGGGCCGTCTTATAGATATATATATATATATTTTTTTTTTTTTTTTTTTTTTTTTTTGGGGGGGGGGGGGAGAACCGCTCTCTTAATGGGGGCCCTGTTCGAAAAACTGGGCCGCGGCCCAGTCAGCCATTTGATATCATATTTATATCATATTGATCTCATAATGTGAGATCTATGATATCACAGCATGATACGTATATGAGATCAATATGATATCAAAATGAAATCACACAGTTATATTAATTTGAGCTCAAATTTGATATCATAATTTGAGAACCTTATGATATCAAAAGTTAATATCATCCGTATACTC